GTTCAGACACTACACTATTTATCCATCTTTTTACATTGTATTTGTCTTAATTGACAAATTGATATCTCTGGTTCACTCTTTTCAGTCTTGTTGGTTTATTTTACTTTGAATACTCATATATCTGGGTTGACATCAGAGTGATATTGACATGAATGTTAATTTCCGATTGTTGTCTGTCATTGGTGGTCCTAGGAACTCCCTTAAGTATTTCTTGTAAAAGATTGGTCTGGTTTTTACAAATTCTTTTCATTTCTGTTTATCTGGAAATGCCCTAATTTCACCATCATATTTGAGGGACAATTTTGCTGGGTATATAATTCTTTGTTGACAGTTGTTTTTTTCTTTCAGATTTTTATATATGTCATCCCATTGCCTTCTTGCCTGCCTGATTTTTGCTGAGAAATGAAGAGTTTAATCTTATTGGTTCTCCTTTGTAGGTAACTTTGTGTTTTTCTTATGCTGCTTTCAGAATTTTTTCCTAGTCTTTGGTTTTGGAAAGTTTGATTGTGCTATGTCTTAGTGATTTTCTTGTGGAGTCTATACTGTTTGGGGTCCACTGAGTTTCTTGAATGTATATCTTTCTTGTCTGTCTTGACATTGGGGAAATTTTCTTCCAACAAATGTTTAACATTTTCCCCCCTGTTCTGGAATTCCAATCACTTTTAATGGTGTCCAACATAATTCCTAAGGAGCTCTGGTAGTGGTTACATGTCAGGCTGCTAACCTCAAGGTCAGCAGTTCGAAACTACCAGCAGTTCCGTGAGAGAAAGATGACGTTTTCTGCTCCCACAAAGATTTACAGCCTCAGAAACCCTGTGCAGGGTCAGTATGAATCGGAACCGACTCCACAGTACTTAACAACAACAACATAATTCTTAGGTTCTGTTCATTTTTTGTTCTTCTTCTTGTTTCTCTGTTCCTCTGTCTTCCATTGATTCAATTCTCTTTTGCCCTTTCAATGCATTATTTGTTTCTTAAATTTTAGTATTAGTGTTGTGGATTTCTCTTTTCTGTTTTGTTATGGTTTCTAATTGTTTCATCTATTTTGTCAGTGTTTTCTTGTAGTGTTTACCTGAATTCTTCTGAAGTCTTATTTGTATTTTTCTTGATTTAATCTGCAGCTTTCTTGATTTTTCTCTCCAGTGAAAGTACCTAAGTATCATTCTTCTGAATTCCTTATCAGGTAATTCCAATGCCATTTCGTCTTCAGGAATGTTCTCTTTTTCTGTATTTTGATCACTTATTTGATCCAATCTGTCTTGTTTCTTCATGTAAACTACAATTGTCTATTGTCTCTGAGACATTGTGATTTTGTTATATTTGTATTTAATTGGTGATTGTATGTTGGTGTGTTCTTAGGCACTCACCACCTGTCTCTGGTGGGTATGATAGAGGATGAAAGTGTATGTGCAGTTCACTCTTTGTGTAGCCAACTTGAATGTGGGGTTTGTGTTGGTCACTATCAATGGTTGATCAAATGGTGCAGGAGCAGGTGGTGGCCCTCACCCAGTGGGTAGGACTGAAGGAGGTGCTGTGGCTGAGATGTGTGCTACAGTTGCTGTTTCCTGCTGGTGGGAGAAGCAAAGAAAAACATAAATATAAACAACAACAGGGGAAAAATGGAAAGACAATGGGTGGGGAAAAACAAGAAAAAGCAAATGAAAAAAAAAAAGAAAAAGGATTATTGCTGTTGTTAAATGCCATCAAGTCATTTCTAACTCATAGCGACCCTGTGTAGGATTTCCAAGAAGCAGCTGGTCAGTTTGAACTGCCAACCTTGTGAGAAGAGAAAAGGAGAGAAAGAAAGAAAGCACGATGAGTAAAACTGGGGTGGCTTTTTTTTTCAAAGTTAAAAATTCTTTAAAAAGAAAAATAAGGGAAGGGAAAAAAAAGAAAAGGAGAAAAACAATAAGGGAAAGAAAAGAAACAAGAAAGGAAAGTGGAGGGGGAGAAAGAAAAATTAGGGCCAGAACCCCCAGTGTAGGTCAGTGCCCTTGCTGGCTAATGGAAGACATGGGAGACACGGTGTCTGGTCTAGATGGAGTTCCTACCACTCATTTTAATTCCTTTAATGATTTTTAACGTGTTATTTTCTTAGTGGTTGCTCTAGGGCTTACAATGTATATCATAGCTTATCCAAACCTCCTTAAGATTTATACTAAATGTCATTTCAGTGAAACTTTACTCCTACATAGCAACAACCCGCTCCCTTTTTTCATGTTAATATTGTAGTACATATTTCATCTACATATGTTGCTGTTGTTGTTGTTAAGTGCTGTTGAGTCCGTTCCAACTCATAAAAATCCTGTATAGGGTTTCCGAGGAGTGGCTGGTGGGTTTGAACCACTGACTTTGTAGCTCAAAGACTCTACCAGTTCTGCTTGCTTTTTTCATATAGGATGTTGGAGTTCTGGGGTGGTGCTGAACTGCTAATAGCAAAGTCAGCATTTTAAACTCACCAGCTGCTTCTCAGAAACCCTATATAGGGTCACTATGAGTCAGAACTGACTCAATGGCACATAACAACAGCAACAAGACAGGGTGATGAGAGTATAAAGCTGCTTACACCACTATCTTGCTGGTGCTTCTCACATGTGGTTTCATTTTTAAACTTGACCTTCTAGGAGCGCCCCCTGAATTAGAATAATTTATCATTCAGCCATTGTTTGTTCAGAAGTTATACTTAGCCCTTGTGCATGTGATGTTTCCATCCTTTGTTGAGGGATCTGTGTATGGCTTCAGAATGCTTTCAAGTCTGTCTTCCTATCCCCCATCCTACTCTGATTGCTTTTGAGTGGGTACAACTTAGTACATGCACACAGCTTTTCCAACCCCCAGGGTTGGCTATGATCCAGGAGGGCTTTTCATGACTTTCTCTTTTTCTAATTCTATTTCTAGTAAACTTCTAGTTCCACAATTTAGCTTGTTGCTTCTGAGATCATGGAGCTACCAGAACCCTCTTAATTGTCCTCCACCAAGGTCTCAATTTTTGTGGTTTTGAGGAGGCTTTTTTTTTTTTTTTAACACTCTTGTGGTTTGGGTGAAAGTTTACAGAGCAAATTAGCTTTCTATTCAACAATTTACATACATTTTGTTTTGTGTCATTAGTTGCAGTCTCCTCAGTTTCATTCTTTATACTTCCTCCCTGGAATCTCTTTTTCCCTTCATTCTTCTTTCCTGCCCCTTCCTGCCTTCTGAACTTTGTTTGAGAGTAAAGTTGCTCTTTTGTTCTTTGAGAAGTATGTTCTGAGTATTGCTGTGAAGATTATGTTCTTCAAAGTTGTTATGGCTCACTTTATAGGCCTGTTTATTGTTTGGCTAAAAGGTGATCCCCCAGGGTGGTTTGGTTCCAGGTTTGAAGAGTGTCTAAGGGCCATAGTCTTGGGGGTTCTACTGTCTTTTATCAGACCAGTAAGTCTGGTCTTTTTAATGATCTTGAAATTTGTTCTATATTTTTCTCCCACTTTGTCCAGGATCTTCTATGTGATCCCAATCAGAGCAGTCAGTAGTAGTAGCTGGGTGCTGTCTAGTCTTCCGGTTGTAGGCTAGTAGAGTTTTTAACACTTTCAGTCATAGAATTCTCTATACTGTTTTTCAAATGAAGTTAATCCCCTCAGAAAGAGCTGTGGAACTCTTCATCATTCAGGACTGGGTTCCTTCCTAAGCATGACACAGGAGCTGGGGTGGGGACAGTGGTCCATTTCTCCCAGATTGACACCTCTGTCCTTTGAGTGGAAGTTGGGAGGAAGAGTGGAAACCTTGGCCTTCATAGCTTGCACCTTCCAGTGTGAAAAGGGAGCCTCTAAAATCAAGCTGTGCTTGGGACAATATTCTTGGCCTGCCATGCCTGGGTAGAACTTATGCCCTACTAATAGGGAAAGAAACTTTCAGTCCTGTCAGCTGTACCTATCCAGAATAGAACTTCAACAATACATGGTAGAAACTCACCCAAGAGAGACTGGTATCCTGGAGTTGTTGTTGTTGTTAGGTGCCATTGAGTTGGTACCGACTCATTGCAATCCTATGCACAACAGAATGAAACACCACCTAGTCCTGGGCCAACCTCACAATTATTGCCATGCTTAAGCCCATTGATGCTGCCACTTTGCCAGTCCATCTCGCTGGGGGTCTTCCTCTTTCTCTCTGACCCTCCACCTTACCAAACATGATATCCTTCTCCAGCGATTGGTCCCTCCTGACAATATGTCCGAAGTATAAAAGACGAAGTTTGGCCATCCTGGCCTCCAAGGAGCATTCTGGCTGCATTTCTTCCAACACAGATCTGTTTGTTTTTTTGGCAGCCCGTGACACTTTCAATATTCTCCTCCACCACCATAACTCAAAAGCATCATTCTTCTACGGTCTTTCTTATTCACTGCCTAGCTTTCACATGCATATAAGTTTATTAAAAATACTGTGGCTTGGGTCAGGCACACCTTAGTCCTCAAGCTGACATCTTTGCTCTTCAACACTTTAAAAAGGTCATGTGCAGCTGATTTGCCTACTGCAATATGTCATTTGATTTCTTGACTGCTGCTTCCGTGAGTGTTGATGGTTGTTCCAAGAAGAATGAAGTCCTTGACAATTTCAATCTTTTCTCTGTTGATAAGAATGTTGTTTATTGGTCCAGTGGTGAGGATTTTTGTTTTCTTTACATTGAGATGCAATCCATACAGAAGGTTGTGCTCTTTGATCTTTATCAGTAAACTGGAGAGAATTTCAGAAATACAAGAATGATTAACACTATTAGAAATCATGTAAGATAAGAAGAGAAATAAAGTCCATAAACTCTAGCAATGTGGAATAACCTGGTAACACTTTTTGAACCTGCTTTAGTGTGAAACAATGCTGCAGTTAAAACCTGTGTATAAAGGGTTACTTCAATGAATTGAGGAATGAATGGAAACTACTCTTTTAAGAAATACAACCATTCAAACTTCCAAATAACTAATTTACTTTTTCACTTTGTTTTTCTCTTTCTGTTCATGATGGCCCTACAGGTGAGACCTGGAACCCTTTCAAACTACAGTACCAGCTGAAGAATGTACGAGAGCGAATTGCAAAGAACCTAGTAGAGAAGGGTATTCTAACCACTGAGAAGCAGAATTTCCTTCTATTTGACATGACCACTCATCCAGTAACCAATACCACAGAGAAACAGCGACTAGTGAAAAAACTGCAAGATAGTGTACTAGAGCGGTGGGTAAATGACCCTCAGCGAATGGACAAGCGAACACTGGCACTCCTGGTGCTAGCCCA